TGGCAATCTCCAGCCTCTGCGCCCAGTGGAGGCGATCAAAACTCAGCACAAAGGCTGCAATTTTTCCCACTTGCTGTTGCTTTTTGCAGATTGAAGGTGAAGAGACAAGGCCAGCAGGAGACGGGGACGTGGGTTGGCCATGGGGCAGATGGAGCAGCTGCAGCTTTGGCTTTTCGAGGAGGTCGGATTGTGGTCATCTGGGGAGGGGGGAGGGTGGAGAGGAGCCAACAAACATCAGCTGTTTACAGCTCAAAAAGCAGACGAAAAACAGCTCACGTGTTTTTAGGCTGAGCAGTTTTTGAGCCAAACACATTTCTCCTCACCCAGTGAGCCACGGTTGTGCTACTTTCTTATCTCTGGGTACATCCAGAAAGAGGAGCACTTCTCACTTATTTCCCTGCCCCTCTCCCATCCCTTTGGAAGAGGAAGAAGAGCACTTAGCAGAGGTTGTGGGAGATAGAGTGGAGCTGGCTGAGTCTCTTGGTATCTGATGCCATAGAATTTCACCTGCTGGAATGACATTTATGCCCGTAGCTTTCTTTCAAAAGGACAGAAGATAACACAGGAGGTGAGGCACGGCCCTAATGAGCAGAAGCAAAACCCAGAAGACAGAAAGAAGACGAGTGAACACTCGGTGTCTCCATCTGCCTGAAGTAACCACACAGGCTTTGGGTAGTTGAGTGTATGGAAAAGAAGACCCAAAGCCACATCTTTCCTGCGCAGGGCCCTAAAGGAAGGTGGTCTGATTTATTTCAGTCTCAGTTTTCACATACAAACCTCATGTTGAGAGCTTGGGTTCATGGGCTCCTCTGTCGGGTTTTAGGACCTGTTTGGGGGATTAACCAGTGAGTAGGGAGTAGAGAGTTGGTGCCCCAAGGGGCCGTTGTCCTCGTCCATAGCACGCTTCTCGACACTCGTGATGCTGACGTAAGTTAATGCTTATCCAGCATTAACTACAGCAATTTTTAATTAACCTGATTTAGAAGCCAAATATATCACTGATGAAAATGAGAGGGTGGAACGCGCCATCATTTATTCCAGTACGGTGGTCACAATTGTTGAATTAGAATTGATTCAGATGAACTTCAGTGCATTGCTGCAGCAGTCGGCTGCGTGCCGGGGGCATGGCGGGGGGAGAGGTGCTTCGTGTTTGCCTTGCTGCTCAGAAGAAGGGAGGAAAGGCCCGTTCTGGCTCTTATTTAATAAAGTAAAAGAGATGGGGTGTGAACTGATTGCTCATTCCCTCCTTTTTTTTCCCATCTTTGCTGGCCACCAGCAGACAGCAGCAGCTGAGCTGGGTGAGGAAGGATGCCAGAGGTTCTTTTTGTCTGCCGATAAACCGCCGCTGCTGGGGGGTGAAGGCAGGAAACAGCAGAGATAATCAGGGGCAGCGGCGGTGCTGGGAGGCACAGCAAAAAGAGTACAATAAAATAGAAGGGAGAAAAGAGAAAGGAAGAGTAGAAAAAAGTAGAAAGTAGGGCAGAATAGAGTACAATGAAGTAAATCTGTGTAGAGTAGAATGGAGTGGAGTGGAGCAGAGCAGAGCAGAGGAGAATGGAGAAGATTTGAGTAGAGTAGAGTAGAGTAGAGTAGAGTAGAGTAGAATGGAGAAGATTTGAGTAGAGTAGAGTAGAATGGAGAAGATTTCAGTGGAGTAGAGTAGAGTAGAGTAGAATGGAGAAGATTTCAGTGGAGTAGAGTAGATTGGAGCGGAGAAGAATAGAGTGGAATACAGTAGAGAAAAGTGGAGTAAGGTAGAATAGAGTCGATTTGAGTGGAGTAGAGTAGAGTAGAATGGAGTAGAGTGGAATAGAGTAAAGAAGAGTGGGGTGTAATGGCATGAAGTTGAGTAGAGTAAAATGGATTGGGGCAGAATGGAGTGGAATGGAGTGGAATGGAGTGGAAGTGGAATGCAATGGAGTGGAGTGGAGTGGAGAGGCATGAAGTTGAGTAGAGTAGAATGGATTGGGGCAGAATGGAATGGAATGGAATGGAATGGAATGGAATGGAATGGGGTGGAATGGGATGGAGTGGAATGGAATGGAATGGGATGGAATGGAATGGAATGGAATGGAATGGGATGGAATGGAATGGAATGGAATTGGATGGAATGGAATGGGATGGAATGGAATGGAATGGAATGGAATGGAATGGGATGGAATGGGATGGAGTGGAATGGAATGGGATGGAGTGGGATGGAATGGAATGGAATGGGGTGGAATGGGATGGAGTGGAATGGGATGGGATGGAGTGGGATGGAATGGAATGGAATGGAATGGAATGGAATGGAATGGAATGGAATGGGATGGAGTGAAATGGGATGGAATGGAACGGGATGGAATGGAATGGAATGGAATGGAATGGAATGGGATGGAGTGAAATGGGATGGAATGGAATGGAATGGAATGGAATGGAATGGAATGGAATGGAATGGAATGGGATGGAGTGAAATGGGATGGAATGGAATGGAATGGAATGGAATGGAATGGAATGGAATGGAATGGAATGGAATGGAACGGAATGAATGGAACGGGATGGAATGGAATGGAGTGGAATGGAACGGAATGGAATGGAATGGAATGGAATGGAATGGGATGAAATGGGATGGAGTGGAATGGAACGGGATGGAATGGGATGGAGTGGAATGGAATGGAATGGAATGGGATGGGATGGGATGGAATGGGATGGAATGGGATGGAGTGGAATGGAATGGAATGGAATGGAATGGAATGGAATGGAATGGAATGGAATGGAATGGGATGGAATGGGATGGAGTGGAATGGGATGGAATGGGATGGAATGGAACGGGATGGAATGGAATGGAATGGAGTGGAATGGGATGAAATGGGATGGAGTGGAATGGAACGGGATGGAATGGAATGGAATGGAATGGAAAGCCAAGCCCTCTAGGAGGGAGTGAAGGTGAATGTGTCCCAGTCTGTTTGAGGGATTTATGCAGAAGCATGTAAAAAGGGTCAGAGCTGTTTTGAGTGTCACCATTCTTGATCTGTAAAACTTCCAGCAAAGGGAAGCAGTGCAATAAACCAGAGCAAAGTCAAGCAGACTGAGGTATATGGAGTGTCATCTGTGGCTTCCATGGAAATCAAGAACTTCTAATAAAGTGGAGGATGGATGGTTGATTTCTGAACCATGTGTGACTGCATGTTGGGACTGTTCTGTTTTTGCCTTGGTATCCCAGTTGTCTTTGGCATCACTGAGTGCAGCCTTCTCCATAAAGTCTGGTTTCCCCTTGGCTCTTCCAATTTGACTGGTTCTGTCTTCTGCCCCTGGGGAGGCACGTCCCCAGTGTGTGGTGGTTTGCAGTCTGGCTCTTCAGGTGCCTGTGATTCCAGCTTCCCAAGCCTTCACATAGCCTCATTGGTTTCCCCTGAACTCTCTCTGACTGATCCGACTGAAGATGATGGAAATTGAAGATGCTCTGTAACCTTCTCTAAAGTGCCCATTAAAACCTCATGTGTTACATGGTGTCTTCAAGTGGTCTGAGCTGCCTTGCGTGCTCCTTCCAGGTGGCTTGGCAAGTAATGGGGTCCCTCCTCGGGATGGCAGCTGTGCAGTGATGGGTGAATACAAGGGCTGGCATGTTTCTGTCCTTTAGCAAGAAGCTGTGGTTGATGGAAGCACTGAGTGGAAGCATTGGGAATTATTCACTTAATGCCCTTCAGGGTTGGCTAGCTGCAATGCCTAACTTAGATCTGTGGTGTGCGTTTGGTAAGTGACAGATCAAACTCGTGCAGCCAAGGAAAACCTTTAAAATAAAGCTGTGCCTCTGGTTTCTCCCAGCTGAATGCTGCATTCAGTGCATGTAATTTCTTGGTAGCGTTCTTCAGAGCACATTGAATGTGCCCATATCCTACATTCTGGTCACTGTCCTCATTTTCAAGGGGAATAAAGGTTAAATATTGATGATGTCACTTGTAAATCTGTGGAGCGCATTCATCATCCTTCCTTTGCCCTGGCCAACTGAGAATATTCACCTCCCACCTGTGCTGATGCCCTCTTGGCTCACAAGGATGGTTTCTTCCTTTCCGTGGATGCTGTCCTATCTTCTCTCACTGCACTTGGAAACCTCATTTCTCCCTTTTTCTCATTGCAGGTTACCCAACAGGATATCCCACCGCTGCCCCAGCCTACAACCCAAACATGTATCCAACCAGCAGCCCCGGCTACGCCCCAGGTAAAACAGCTTCCCCCTTCCCCATGCTTATCATTCTCTCCTTCCACATAATAGATGGAGACATTTCAGCAATGTGTCCTGTTTGGTGTCTTCATCCCTTCACGCCGTGTTCCCTTTTCTTTCCTGTGGTGCTGGCAGACTCCTGTCTGTCCTGCTGTCCTACTGTCCTGGTGTCTTCTGTCCAGCTCCAGCCCTTCACGTCGCCCTAATCTGGCTCTTCCAAAGCTGTATCAAGTTCTGTCCAGCCAATCTCAACTGCTATCCCACATTGGTATTCCAAAGTGTATCAGCCATGCTCTTCTCCTAAAATCTTGTTTTCCTTTGGCTTTCCAAAGCTCAGCAGTTCAGTTCTCTGCTGTGGGGACATATTCATCACCTTCCCCTTCCCAGCTTTCTATGAAAGCTCAGCTCAGCTCAGTCCTTCATTCCCCTCTCCACCACCACCTCTGGGAAACCTTATTTGCAGGTACAAAATCTGGTCCATCCTTGCCCCAATGACCCAGACGTGTCTCCTCCTAGTCTCCCCCATCTATCTATCCACCTATCTATCTATCTATCTATCTATCTATCTATCTATCTATCTATCCATCTATCTATCCATCTATCTATCTATCTATCTATCTATCTATCTATCTATCTATCTATCCACCTATCTATCTATCTATCTATCTATCCATCTATCTATCTATCTATCTATCTATCTGTCTATCTATCCATCTATCTATCCATCCATCTATCTATCTATCTATCTATCTATCCATCCATCCATCCATCCATCTATCTATCTATCTATCCATCCATCTATCTATCTATCTATCTATCTATCTATCTATCTATCTATCTATCTATCCATCTATCTATCCATCCATCTATCTATCTATCTATCTATCTATCTATCTATCTATCTATCTATCTATCCATCCATCCATCCATCCATCCATCCATCCATCCATCTATCTATCTATCTATCTATCTATCTATCTATCTATCTATCTATCTATCCATCTATCCCAATTGGGATTTCAGCCATTCCACCACGCACTGTGCTTTGTTCCACTGTGGCTGACAAAAGAGATCTTCATTTTGCAGACCGCATGCTCCTTTGCAGCCTTCTTTTCCAGTCCCTCTGCTGGCCATGCTGACAGGTAACAGGCTGATCTGGGTCAGCCCAGCTTCTTCACTGGAACCCAGCTCCGTGCTATCCCTGACCTTGACAAAATCTCCCCCATCCATCTGGAGAGCTGATTACAACAGTAATATTCCCGGTCCACCACTTTAACTATGCCATCGTCCCTCTCTCTGCCTTTATTCTTGCTCAATGCAAGTGCAGTTTTTCATGTCTTTATTTGCCCAGACTATTTCCCAATCTGTTTATTCTCTCTTGCTTGGTGTCCAGAGCCTCACTGCTGTTTGACCCATTGAGCCCAGCCACCAACCTGACCTGCTGAGTGCCATCACTGCACCGCGTCCCTCAGTGCCACATCCACACATCAAGGGCAGAGAGCAACAGGACAAGGGGGAATGGTTTTAAACTAAAAAGATTTAGATTTAGAGATTCAGGTTAGATGTGAAGAGGAAATTGTTTACCTAAAGGGTCATGAGGCCCTGGCACTGCTGCCCAGAGCTGTGGGTCCCCATCCCTGGGGGTGTCCAAGGCCATGGATGGGGCTGTGGGCACCTGGTGTCCCTGCCCATGCAGTGCTGGGTTTGGGTGGCCTTTGAGGTCCCTTCCAACCCAAACCAGCCTGGGATTCAGTGATCTCTGAAATACCTCCAGGGGTGGCACAGAATCACAGAATTCAGGCTGGAAAGGATCTTCACAAGACCTTCCCACGGATCTCTGCAACCTCCTGGCAGACCTGTCCATGAAAACTCCAGGAGGATTTGGGTTAATCAAAAGCTTATCAACATGGTTTAGGACTAATTTTGTTATGCCACTGTCCTTTTAACATGAAAACAATCAATACATTAATAGTAGAGATCTCTGTGAAGCACACAGACTTCCCTGAGTGTGATGGAGCCAGTACTGCACTCCACAGCTCAGTTGAGAGAGAGTGATGCTAGAAGTGTTCAGTGAAGCCTTCAAGCCTCTAAAAACCTTTTAACCTCGTCTTAATTACAGCAGAAGCTAATGAAGTGCTCTGCTAAGTAGGGATACCTGAACTGTCCTGCATTTTTATACATTTGGGCACAAAGCTGGAGATGGTGATATAGGTTATTCTTTTTGGAGCTGAGGGCTTTTCTTAGGCTCTCATTGGGGAAATCACAGAATCACAAATGCCCACTGACCATGTGCCACGAGTCAGGATCAGACCAGAGCTTTCACAGTGTCTGGGCTTTGACATGAGCAGTGTTTCTGGAAGCAGGGCTTTGCTCCCCAAGAGGTGCCGGCCCACTCGTAAATCCTCCTGGAAGATCTAATGCAGAAATAGTGAGGTGAGAAGAGCTGTACAGAAAATAAAACAACCCCACACCTGTATGGGAGTCTGTCCTGTCAGAGGTGGGCAGCATCCTCTGTGCTCAGAATGGGATGTAAATAGAAAACGTTGGCCTGCAGACTGTAAAAACACGAGTGTGTGGAGAGCAGCAGTGTGTGCAGAGCAGGCAGGCTAAAAGCAGCATGTTTACCTTTCCAAACAAGTCTGGAAAAACAGAAGGTGAGACGTCAAACTGGGGGCTTTGTTGTCACCATAGGTTTGCTCAAACCCCAAATATAAGTTGTTACAGACACAAATAGCAATCGGTGGTGGAGCCAGGTGGATAGCTTCTTGTCCCCTGAGGCTGAATCATAGAATGATAGACTCACAGAATCACCAAAAGAACTCCAAGATCATCCTGCTCAATTGTTGACCTACCACCAATATTTTCCCACTAAGCCATGTCCCTTAATATAGCACCTAAATGTTTACTGAGTGTAAGACTGCAGTTCAAGGAGGTGGCCAAGGAGCACCCAAACGAGAGGGGAACCTCTCCTCTCCTCTCCTCTCCTCTCCTCTCCTCTCCTCTCCTCTCCTCTCCTCTCCTCTCCTCTCCTCTCCTCTCCTCTCCTCTCCTCTCCTCTCCTCTCCTCTCCTCTCCTCTCCTCTCCTCTCCTCTCCTCTCCTCTCCTCTCCTCTCCCCTCCTCTCCCCTCCTCTCCTCTCCCCTCCTCTCCTCTCCTCTCCTCTCCTCTCCTCTCCTCTCCTCTCCTCTCCTCTCCTCTCCTCTCCTCTCCTCTCCTCTCCTCTCCTCTCCTCTCCTCTCCTCTCCTCTCCTCTCCTCTCCTCTCCTCCCCTCTTCACAGAAGACATCGGAGGTGATGCTTTGTGGGATTGCTTTTTCAGCCTAGGTTATTGCTAAATAGCAGGAATAAGCTGAGAAATGAGAAACACCCAATATGAAAAAGTGTTTTGGTAAAGTCCTGGGGTGGGCTGAAGGATAAACTTCCTTTTCCTTAGCAAATGAGCTGCTTGCACCCACAACAAAAATAATACAGAAGTATCTGTGACAAATTGAATGGAGAAAAAAACAGGGCAACAAGGAATTGTCCTGAAGGCCATCGTATCCCCCAGGACACCCAGGAGGAGGGAGTTGTGCTGAAGGTTTTCCGAGTCATCAGTATTTGGGAGTGGGATGGTGACAGTGGGGACTTGCTCACCAGTGGGCTCAGGGGGCCAGGAGGAAAGTGGGGAGAGCTGAGCATCCCCTGCTGCCAGAGCAGTGCTCTCCTCTCCGAAAATGGAATCAGCCTTCAGAAGTTCCCTCGCCATTGTTTGGTGTGGAATCAGCTGCCCCAAACCTTGTTAGTCTGTGGCTTTCATAAGGACAAAACCACAGAGGCTTTGATTTCTCCTACCTTTGTGCTGGCAGCCCGGGCTCTCGGCGTTCTCTCTTTCATTAAAGACACTCAGCCTCTTCCTTGCTTTGATTCTGGCTGTATTTTGTGGCCGCAATCCTCTGCAGCAGGCAGTTCTGTGGATTAATTAAGGCTTGGGTTACTGATTTATTTTATTTTTAAGCGGTGCAAATAATTGTCTGTTGCCTTAGATTTGCATGATGTGAAAGAGGAAGCGAAAGCCCCGGCCAGTCTCCTTTGTGCCACTCAGCCTTTTGTCCCCCTCCCTCTCTCCAATCTGAAGAGCACCCCTAATCTCTGCAGAACTTTCTTTCTCTGAAAACCCTCTGCTCGTTTTTGTCACCCCTTGCAGGATCTTTTTGTCACGAGGCTCAATGCTGGATCAGGAGAGCATTGGCGGCTTTCTCGGCGTATAAATTTCATTTCTCTGTTTGTCATCCTTAAAAATACTTCTAATAGTTTTGAGAGTAGAAAGATCCCGAAGCCCAGGAAGCTGTCAGGCCATTTTCCAAGAACAAAAATCTTCCAGCTCCTAACGATGCGTGAACACGGCATGGCCAAGCATTGCATCAGCTAGGAAATGGCAAAGGTCAGAACCAGCTCTCCTCCAGGCAGCCCTGCACAGGGTGTCTGTCCTCCACATGAACGACCTTGAGATCAATACAATTTAGCATAACAGAATCACAGAGTGATTCACTCAGGCTGGAAAAGACCTCCCAAGATCCCCAGCCCATCCCAAGCACAGATAAAGGGCAGGTGGGGAATGGCTTGAGAGCAGCCTTGAGGAGAAGGATTTGGGGGTGTTGGTGGATTAAAAACTGGCCAGGCTGGATGGGGCTGTGAGCAACCTGGGCTAGAGGTGCTCTTTCCTACAGCAGGGCGCTGGGTCTGGGTGATCTTCAAAGTCCCTTCCAACCCAAAGCATTCTATGATTCCACGATTCTGTCCCACCATGCCCACTCACCATATCCCTCAGTGCCACCCGTTCACAGTTCTGGATCCCCTGCAGAGGTGGAGATCCCACAACCTCCCTGGGCAGCCCATTCCCCATTGAAGAGATCCCAGCACGTTTTGAGGTTAGTCCCATAGGGATGATGGATGCTGTCACGGACTCTGCTGTGCATGGATCAGCAGCATGGGGCAAGGGTTGCTCAGAGCACAAGTCCTGCTTCCAACCCCACAGAGACCAGATCTCCCAACCTTATCTCTCATAGAGAAGGCTTCAGTCCTGGTTTGGACCTTTCTGAAGTGTAGAAGCCTGAAAATGCTGCGTAGACAACTTTGGAAGACAGGCACAGGTTCAGCACCTTCCAGTATCCATCCCTGTGTCACTCAGAGATGGGAAAATGACCTAAAGGAGAAAATGAAGAACTTATTTCAGAGACAACTGATGCAAAATCAGCTCTGAAAAATGTTCACGTTGTGGAGCGGGCTGCGTTCTCATCTGTGCTAAATGGAATGGAGTTCGGGAGACGCTGCGGCGCAGTGGCTGAGTCAAAACCAGTCATCTGTGTCAGTACAAAGAGCATTTGCTCAAATTGAATCAGCTGCTGTCATCCAGGAGGCTGGAAATAACCCAGCCACAGAAATGAACGTGTGGTCGGGGTTCACGCCGTCCATCAGCCACGTTGGGATCAGAAGGGATCAGCTTTCCTTTTAACATCTGTGATTCTGGAAGCATCCAACTTGTTGGCAATGAATTTTCAAGCAGTTTGGGATGTCAAGCCCTTTGTAGACCCTCTGCAGAGATGCTTGCAGCAGAACTGCTGCTCCGAGTGCATCCCCTCAGCCAGCAAGGTGCTTCCATTCAGAGCTGGGTGGTGGACATATGTGTTGGCCAAAATCCTTTAGGAATATGTGAAACAGCCATCATAAACCCAAGTTTAATCTACTTGGATATCTGAAACTCTTTCTGTAGGTTAACCCTGCAAACGTTGCCCCTTGACACTGTTTAATAGAGATTTTGAGGGGTGTGAGAGCATCCTCTGTTTGTGGCTTACGAGCTTGCAGGGTTACTGCTGGAAGAGCATCAGTCATGAAGAAAACTGTTCCATGCAAGCACAGCAGTCCTCTTCTCAGGTCCTTCTAGAGATGTCCCTGGGATGATCTTTCTCTGGATAGGTGGCCCAAACCTTATAGGTTTTGTTTGGCTTCCATGTGAAGTCATAGAGTGCCACAGGAAGGTGGGGAGCACCCTCTGCTCCTGCCCACCCCAAATGAAGCACATTTGGTGGTGGTGGTAATGTTCAAAGGCTGCCTTTCAAATGCTCCTCAAGTGCCATCTGCTTTAGCCTTCTATATCCAAGTACCCATGTCACCAACACCAAGCTGGATGCTGGTAGTGTTTGATGCCTGTTGTTGACCTCATGGTTTCCATGCAAACAGCATTGGGACCCATGTGGATTAAAGGATTTAGCACTCTAGACTCCTGAGTGCCCCACATGGAGACCTGGAGAGGGCTTTGGGAGGGGCTGGGGTCCCACAGTGCCTCCGGATCCAACAGCAGCAGGGACAGAATTGGAAATGGCTGGAACCAGTCTTGATTGCTCAAGGATCACTTCCTCCGAGGTCAAGATGAGTGCATCTGTAAATCAGGCCAAGGTGGCAGGAGGTCTGCATGGATGAGCAAGGAGCTCATGGGAAAATTCAATAGCCCATGGAATGTGAAGAAGGGATCTGGCTGCTTGGGAGGAATGTCAGAATGCTGTCAGGGCCTACAGGGATGCTGCAAGAAAGGCTGGAGCCCACCTGGAATTAAATCTGTTGAGGGAAGTCAAGGGCAACAAGAAAAGACTTCTTTAGGTGTGTCTTAAAGGAGGACTGGGGGAAATGTGGGTCTGCTGCTGAATGAGCTGAGTGCCCTGCTAACAGGACACTGAGGGTGGGCTTTCTGAATGCTTTCTTTGCTTCAGTCTTTAGTGATGAGACTGCCCCTCGAGAATCCCAAACCCTGGAGGGGTCAGAGGTTGTCTAAGGGAACATGATGCACCCAAATCCATGGGCCCTGATGGGATGCACCCACATGTGCTGAGCTGGCAGAAGTGATTGCCAAGCCACCCTCTGTCATCTTTGAGAGGTCATGGAGAATGGGAGAGGTGCCTGAAGGCTGGAGGATAGCCAGCATTGTACTAGTCTTCAAAAAGGGCAACTGCAGGCAGCCAGGCTCACCTCCATCCCTGGGAAGGTGATGGAACAGCTTGTTCTGGGTGCCATCTCTGAGGAACTGGAGGAGAAAAAGGTTATCAGGAGTAGTCAGCGTGGATTCACCAGGGGGAAATTATCCTCAACCAACCTGGTGCCTTCTATGGCTGGATAGATGGGGGACAGTACCGAAATAATTCCTTTCAAGCTTGTCAAACCGAGCACTTAAAATCATTGTGTGCAGTTTTAAAGAAAAAAAACCAATGATGTATGTCTCCATTAGGCTGGTTCCTTCCCAGGCAGCCTGCCTTCCCGACTTGCTCGCCTGGTTTCAGCTCTCCTCATCAGCGCCTGCTTTTCATTCTGCTGAAAGTAGGGCATGCACTTTTCTCTTTCGCTCTGCCCATTAATAATGCAGCAGAGAATAATGCTCCGTGTCCATTGCTGCAGTGCCTGCACTGAGCAGAATGGATGTTTCTAGCAGCAGCCCCCGAGGTGGGGGTCAGTAGGGTTGTGCTGTGGCGTAGGATGGGGGCTGTGAGCCCTCTGTGCTGCTGCATCCTCCCTGCAGGAAGCATTGCTCTGCAGTGCATCGGCGTGCACTGCATCATCTGCTTGGTTCCTTTCCCTGCAGTCGTTGGCAAGAGACTAAAACAAATCCAGAAGATGCTGGGAGGAGATAGACCTGCAGAGATGTTAGATAGTCATGGCTGGATTGAAACCTCTGTGGGCGATAGCTTCGTGCACAGGAGATATTGCTGTTCCTGGATGCTTCTCCAGTTCATCTTTTGTGCAGTTTTAAGTGATGGATTCTCCCTGGTGATTCAGCGTGAGGGACATCAAGCTGCAAATTCCTGGCCAGCTCAGCCCCAGCTTGCAGTGACTGTTTGGTGGATCCAGCATGGAGAGAGGAATTGGCTGAGGAAGGGTCCTTGGACCATCTGAATGAATCCCATGATGAATGAGTCTCATCAGCCTTGGATGTGCGGTCGGGTGGTGAAAGTGAATCTGATTTTGAATGTAAAGAACCACTGATCATGGAATCATTGAGGTTGGGTGAGACCACTGAGGTCATCGAGTCCAACTGTGGACCCAGCACCCCGTGCCCATGGCAGCCTGTAGGACCAAGCAGGGTCATTCCCTCGGGTTTCATCCCCTTTCTGTGTGCACACAGCAGGGCAGAGCTGGTGTAGTGCTGTGGCTCTGGAGGCCGTGGGGAGCTGAGTAGCTCAATGCAGAGAGCCTGGCTGCTGAGCTTGCAATAAAAATTAGGATGGCCCCGTAGTTTCAGAAGAAAAATGAACAGGAAAATACCCATTAAGCCTTTCCTAGAGGCAGTGTCTCTGTTAGGGATCTGCTTTCTGCATAGATGTGCTTTAATGTAATATGTAATGGCAGCCCTTGCATCGTAGCGTGGTAGAATATCCCAAGAATGCAGAGAAAACTACCCCAATCCATGCTTCTACCAGCTCTCCTTCCAGAGTTTCCAAAGACCCAGTTGACGGGGTGGGATGCTCATAGCATCAGTACCCACCACATGGGACCAGAATGCAAATAAAATGCCTTGTACCCCTCACACTGGGGTTTCCAGCTGAGAAGCATGAGGGACAGCTGTTCCTTGTCCCCATGCATAGGGACTCACCCAATCCTGCCTTGTGCTGCATCTTGTGTTGCCTTGTTTCAGTGCTTCTTATGCACATAGACACACTGTCACATATCAGTTGGCTAGAAGTCATGATTTAGCATGTTTATTGCATCAAACCATTAAGCTGCTGCTCTGAAAAGCCATAAGTCCCCAGAGATGTCCCCAGGGATGTCCTCAAAGCCACCTGTGTTGGCTGTGTCCCCCGTGTAGGTCTTCAGACTGGTCTCTTGGCTCAGGAGATTGGTCACTTCTGTGGGGTTTAGTGGGGAGGTGATGGGTTTTGAGGAGGAGGTGATGGGTTTTTGGAGGAGGTGATGGGTTTTGTGGAGGAGGTGATGGGTTTTGAGGAGGAGGTGATGGATTTTGTGGAGGAGGTGATGGGTTTTGTGGTGGAGGTGATGGGTTCTGTGGAGGAGGTGATGGGTTTTGAGGAGGAGGTGATGGGTTTTTGGAGGAGGTGATGGGTTTTGAGGAGGAGGTGATGGGTTTTGTGGAGGAGGTGATGGGTTTTGTGGAGGAGGTGATGGGTTTTTGGAGGAGGTGATGGGTTTTGTGGAAGAGGTGATGGGTTTTGTGGAGGAGGTGATGGGTTTTGAGGAGGAGGTGATAGGTTTTGTGGAAGAGGTGATGGGTTTTGTGGAAGAGGTGATGGGTTTTGTGGAGGAGATGATGGGTTTTGTGGAGGAGGTGATTGGTTTTGAGGAGGAGGTGATGGGTTTTGTGGAGGAGGTGATGGGTTTTGTGGAGGAGGTGATGGGTTTTGTGGAGGAGGTGATGGGTTTTGTGGAGGAGGTGATGGGTTTTGAGGAGGAGGTGATAGGTTTTGTGGAAGAGGTGATGGGTTTTGTGGAAGAGGTGATGGGTTTTGTGGAGGAGATGATGGGTTTCGTGGAGGAGGTGATGGGTTTTGTGGAGGAGGTGATGGGTTTTGTGGAGGAGGTGATGGGTTTTGAGGAGGAGGTGATAGGTTTTGTGGAAGAGGTGATGGGTTTTGTGGAAGAGGTGATGGGTTTTGTGGAGGAGATGATGGGTTTTGTGGAAGAGGTGATGGGTTTTGTGGTGGAGGTGATGGGTTTTGTGGAGGAGGTGATGGGTTTTGTGGAGGAGGTGATGGGTTTTGTGGAGGAGGTGGTGGGTTTTGATGAGGAGGTGATGGGTTTTGTGGTAGAGGTGATGGGTTTTGTGGAGGAGGTGATGGGTTTTGAGGAGGAGGTGATGGGTTTTGTGGAAGAGGTGATGGGTTTTGTGGAGGAGGTGATGGGTTTTGAGGAGGAGGTGATGGGTTTTGTGGAAGAGGTGATGGGTTTTGTGGAGGAGGTGATGGGTTTTGTGGAAGAGGTGATGGGTTTTGTGGAGGAGGTGATGGGTTTTGTGGAAGAGGTGATGGGTTTTGTGGAAGAGGTGATGGGTTTTGTGGAGGAGATGATGGGTTTCGTGGAGTAGGTGATGGGTTTTGTGGAAGAGGTGATGGGTTTTGTGGAAGAGGTGATGGGTTTTGTGGTGGAGGTGATGGGTTTTGAGGAGGAGGTGATGGGTTTTGTGGTGGAGGTGATGGGTTTTGAGGAGGAGGTGATGGGTTTTGTGGAGGAGGTGATGGGTTTTGAGGAGGAGGTGATGGGTTTTGTGGAAGAGGTGATGGGTTTTGTGGAGGAGGTGATGGGTTTTGTGGGGGAGGTGATGGGTTTTGTGGAAGGGGTGATGGGTTTTGTGGAAGATGTGATGGGTTTTGTGGAGGAGGTGATTGGTTTTGAGGAGGAGGTGATGGGTTTTGTGGAGGAGGTGATGGGTTTTGTGGAAGAGGTGATGGGTTTTGTGGAGTAGGTGATGGGTTTTGAGGAGGAGGTGATGGGTTTTGTGGAGGAGGTGATGGGTTTTGTGGAGGAGGTGATGGGTTTTGTGGAGGAGGTGATGGGTTTTGTGGAGGAGGTGATGGGTTTTGTGGAGGAGGAGATGGATTTTGTGGAAGAGGTGATGGGTTTTGAGGAGGAGGTGATGGGTTTTGTGGAAGAGGTGATGGGTTTTGTGGAGGAGGTGATGGGTTTTGAGGAGGAGGTGATGGGTTTTATGGAAGAGGTGATGGGTTTTGTGGAAGAGGTGATGGGTTTTGTGGAGGAGGGGATGGGTTTTGAGGAGGAGGTGATGGGTTTTGTGGAGGAGGTGATGGGTTTTGTGGTAGATGTGATGGGTTTTATGGTAGATGTGATGGGTTTTGTGGAGGAGGTGATGGGTTTTGTGCAAGAGGTGATGGGTTTTGTGCAAGAGGTGATGGGTTTTGTGGAAGGGGTTATATGGAAGAGGTGATGAGTTCACTACAACACACTGCACAAACCATCCCACCATGGGATACCCCAGTATTTAATTCCTACATGAATTTGTCCTAAAAGAGGGAAAAAAAGGAGGGCAGCAAAGCGCTTCCAGTGGGCCATGAATGGGGGTGGCCATGTCTTCCTTGCTCTAATGTTTCTCTTCTTTCTCACTCAAGCTACTCTTCTGATGAAGCAAGCCTGGCCACAGACCTCCTCCTCCTGTGCCACAGAGGGCACCTTCCACCTCCCAGTGGACACTGGGACCGAGAACAGAACCTATCAGGCTTCTTCTGCAGCATTCAGTAAATAAACCTTTTCTTCTGGGGTTTTTCTCAGTCGTTTTGTGCTGGAGGGTTTAGTTCTGATGTTCAGTGACCCTCTGCAAGGCTGCAGAGCATTTCACGTGGGTGAAATATCCATCCCAGCGTGTCTGCTCTCCTATCAACACGAGGTTTGGGTGTCAGGAAGTCTTTCTTTTGGAAAAGGGGTGTCCCTGTCATTCTGTGTAGCAGGGGCTGTAATCCCCTGATGTGGGCTCTGCATCCTAATTTCAGCAGCCCAAATGGTGAGGCTTTTTAAAATGTCGGAGTGTAACTGGTAGAAGCTGAGCTGTCACTCAGCAGTTTTCCCTTGCAGTTCAGCACATGCCTGGATGTGATTTTCCTCCCTATTGTGCTGCTGCAGTTGAGATTCCTCCCTTAAAATCAAGGGGAACAAGAGCTGAGCTGCAGGTACCGCAGTAGGAAAGGATTTGGGGGAAAAGAGTGGGATGAAGAAGGTGGTGAGGAGCCTTGGTGGTAATGATGGAAGCAAAGGGGTGAGGACAGGAATGGGGAAATGGGAAATGGGGTCCTACAGCCCCTCTTGGCCCTACAGCCCTCATGGTCCTGCAGCTCCTCATGGCCCTACAGCCCCTCACGGCCCTACAGCCTCTCATGGCCCTACAGCCCTCATGGTCCTGCAGCCCCTCAATGGCCCTACAGCCTCTCATGGCCCTACAGCCCCTCACGGCCCTACAGCCCCTCATGGCCTTACAGGCCTCATGGCCCTACAGCCCCTCATGGCCCTACAGGCCTCATGGCCCTACAGCCCCTCATGGCCCTACAGGCCTCATGGCCCTACAGCTCCTCGTGGCCCTACAGCCCCTCGTGGCCCTACAGCCCCTCTTGGCCCTACAGCCCCTCATGGCCCTACAGCCCCTCTTGGCCCTACAGCCCCTCATGACCCTACAGCCTTTCATGGCCCTACAGCCCCTCATGACCCTACAGCCTTTCATGGCCTTCCAGCTCCTCTGTTTCTGTTACCTGGGAGCTGATCCCTCCCCCCACCACAACCTCCTTTCAGGAGTTGTAGGGCTATAAGTTCTCCCCTGAGCTCCACACTGACCCATCCCAGTTCTCTCAGCCATTCCCACAGCGCTGTGCTCCAGACCTTAAGAGCTTTCCATGGGCATCATCAGCAAAGCATCACATTCCTGCAGTCATGCTCCTAGGGTGAATGGTGCAGAACTCAGCACAGAGCTTTCATCCTCACCTCCCCTCATTCCCCATCACCCTTAGGATAAAAATTTGTGCAATTCAGTGCAATTTTGCACTGTAGGATCTGTGGGGTTGAGATTTCTGGGGTGGTGTGAGGCATTTAATCAGCAATTTTAATAGGAGCTAGAGCTCCTACGCTTGCTATTGCTTTTTATTAAAATCCCAGCCCTCTGTGGAACCACAGCATGGGCTGGGTGAACTCCTAATCCTCCTGAGGTTGTCATAATCAGGCTTTAAAATTAGCTGTCAGACATGCGTGTCTGAGAGGAGCACAAATCATTATGTGACATTAAAACTTGGCTATGAGCTGCTTTTACCTGCAAGCCAGTGTGGATTGCTCGCATTTTTTCCCCATTGTTTTATAAAGAATGAGGGTTGCATCTGCCTGGGCTGTTGTGTTTAACACCTTTTTTAATGTAGTAGTTAAATTGTCATTCAGCAGTGGGGAAACTGCAGCAAGGTCCATTCTGCATTCGGAGTGGGCTGAGGGTTGGGCTTGTGGCCCTACAGCTCCTCATGGTCCTACAGCTCCTTGTGGTGGCCTTACAGCTCCTTGTGATGGCTCTACAACTCCTCATGGCCCTACAAATCCTCATGGCCCAACATTTCCTCATGTCTCTACAGTCCCTCATGACCCTACAACTCCTCATGGCCTTACAGCTCCTCAAGGTCCTACAGCTCCTCGTAGTGGCCCTATGGCTCCTCATGGCCCCACATCTGCTCATGGTGGCTCTACAGCTCAGAATCACAGAATCACAGAATCACAGAATCACCTGGGTTGGAAGGGACCTCAAGGATCATGTAGTTCCAACCCCCCTGCCCAGCAGGGCTACCAAACAAACACATTCAGATCAGGTTGCCCAGGACTCCGTCCAACCTGGCCTTGAACACGTCCAAGGACGGGGCATCCACAACCTCCCTGGGCAGCCCGTTCCAGGGCCTAACCACTCTCCTTGTGAAGAACTTCCCCCTAACATCCAACCTAAATCTTCCCTCCCTCAACTTGGATCCATTTCCCCTCGTCCTGCTGTTGTCAGCCCTTTGGAAGAGTTTACTCCCCTCCTGGCTGTAGGTTCCCTTCAGGTATTGATAGGCTGCACTGAGGTCACCCCGCAGCTTCTCTTCTCCAGGCTGAACGAGCCCAACTCCCTCAGCCTGTCCTCATAGGGGAGGTGCTCCAGCCCCCTGCTCATCTCAGTCGCCCTCCTCTGGACCCTTTCCAAGATCTCTATGTCTTTCTTGTACTGAAAGAAAGAAGAAAGAAGAAAGTCTCCACCAGGACTGCGCCTCCAGCTCAGCGTCCGTATCGCGCCGCAGCTCCAGCGCCTCCCTGCACTCCCTGCGCAGGGGTACCTACAGCGACCAGGAGTTCGACACCTACAGCCTGGAGGACGAGGACGATTACGACTGTTCCCTGTCGTACCGCAGTGCTCACAGATACTCACCGTCTCCGCTCAGCTCCCCCAGATGTCAGTCCCCTTCTTCCAGTGCAGACTATAGCAGGGCCTCTCGGATCCGTCCCCCGCGGAGATCCGTGCAAAGCCCGATGCAGGACCGGCTGAAGTATGCCAGCAGTGAAGAGGAGATGCGCCACAGCATGCCCAACCTGGCCAGGACGAGCCTTCGAGCTTTGGAGTCTGTGAGAAGCAGTCGCAGCTTGGAGTCGGATCTGCAGGTGCCCAGCAGTCGACTTTCAAGAATTCAGCAACCATCAGCAAGTCTGGCTCCCAGTAAGCTCAGGTATTCCTCCAGTGCTGGCCAGTCTCCCCTAACAGTGCGACAACCAATGAAAGCTGGGTCATGCACAAACTCTCTGTTAACACCCAGGCAGCCGGTGAAAGCTTGCAGTTACACAGCTCCTGTCAGCGGAGTTGGAAAGCCACAGGCTTCTTCCCTTAGCACAGGCCCTTCCAGTGGCAGTTCCACTTCTAGAAGCTTGGTCACTGTGGCAAAAAATGCACCCCTGAAAGCACGCACATCTGTTGGAGGAACTTCAGTGCCCAAGAGCAAGCTGACGCCGCCGTCCAAGAGATTTCTTCAATCAGTAAAAACCACGCCAAGCACTGTGGACGATTCCTGGAAGGAAGGGTGTTACTGACACAACCCAAAACACCGATGCACTGCCAAACACCTCTGTGAAGCAGAACCCCAGCTGGCTGGGCTTGAGAACGTTATTTTAAAACAATATTCTATTTGAGAGACCCATGGCATTGGGACTGGTGTATATAGAGCTCCTCTCCTCTTGAATGCAAACTATCCTTGCCTTCCAGCACTCTGGCACAAGCTCCTTGTGATGGCCTCACAGCCCCTCATGGCCCTACAGCCCCTCATGGCCCTACAGCTCCTCATGGTGTCCCTACAGCCCCTCATGGCTTTAGAGCTCCTCATGGCCCTGTACCTCCTCATGGTGGCCCTACAGCTCCTCATCACCTTACAGCTCCTTGCTGCCCTACAGCTCTTCGTGTTGGTCCTACAACAGGATGGAGTTCTCCTCATAGACCCTCCAGCACACAGAAGCTCCAGCACAGGGTTCCCCCTCTCTATTCCATTCCATTCTGCACTCTGCTATGAGTCTCAGGAAGGGAATCAGACCCTTTCTGTTTAATTAACACTTCTATTCCAAATCTGCAGCGCTCAGAAGGCCGCAAGATGCTGTTTGCAGTCCCTGGAAAACTCCTTGTTATCTTCACACTGAGTATTAGCAAACTTGAAATCTTGTCCTTCATTAGTTGCTGTGTTGAGTGCTAATGGGTTCATTATGTCTGAGTGTCGGGGTGTGTTACCGCTCTGCTGAGCCTTGAATTTCTCCTCTCCATCCTACTCAGTGTTCGGGACCCATGGGCCCCATCTGCCCTCAAAGATGATTTAAAGCACAGCTTTAAGAATTCTTGAGGATTTTCCCCCAATTTAGTGCTGGAGCATCACAGAATCATAGAATCACCAAGTTGGAAAAGACCTGCAAGATCATCCAGTCCAACCATCCACCTACCACCAGTATTTCACACTAAACCATGTTATTCAGTGTTGTCCCACCAGTGGGGTCTGTTCCTTGTATGGCATCAACAGAGTGAGTTCCTTCTTGTCCTTCACTGCAAGAGTGACCTCAAAGCCACTGAGACTTCAGAAGTAGAATCACAGAATCAGAGTCACCGAGGTTGGAAAAACCTCCAAGAGCCTCAAGTGCAACTCCAACCCAACCCCCATCGAACCCCAACCCAACCCAACCCAACCCCAACCCAACCCCAACCCATCTCCCAACCCAACCCCAACC